GGGGCCTGGAGCGGGCCGAGAGCGTAGTGGCCTCTTGGGAGGTGGAAGAGGCCGCCTGTACTGAAGTGAAAACAGCCTCCGTGATCGCTGGAAGGGCGCACGGCCTGCAGGGTTCTCGCAGCTCAGGAGGTGCCTGGCAAGGGCTTGCTGGTCGCAAGATAGGAGTGGGCGAGCTTGCTGGGGCCGTACATCCATGTGCCCCGTTCACCTTGCCTTGCCTGGGCCGCGTTCATCTGGTCCCCTCAGCTGCCAGGGAGACACTGTCCTCTCAGAGGCATTGATAGTGTTGTTGCGGGAGATACGGTTCAAAACACATCAGACCTGTTCATCTCAGTTAAACTGCTCGGTCTGTTACATATCGGAGGCAAGCTGGTGTTTCTAAAGCTGTCCTCATTTCCTTGCAACAGATAACTCAAATGACTTTTCTCTCTTATTTACAGTAATGTCTGGCTTGTTGCTCTTGAATGCGACTGCTTCTATCCTTACACACAAGCTGCTAATTCACAATGTCATGTCTCAGCAGTAGTGTTCACACAGAGTCTAATTAAGTTACATCAAAGATCAATGAAATAAAATGTCTTGTGCTAATCCATTATTCACACTCCAGTATTAAATGTTTGTGTGTTTGTACCCATATATGTAAAAAATGCATGTACATGTATCCGTTTCTACAGTTTCCTGTGGAGAGATTGAGTTTTGCTATTTAAAGTCGGTGAGGTTTTCTGCTTCATAATTGTTTATATACCAGACCTCAGGTTTAGGGTGCCTATGCAGGTGTCATCCCATAAATTAATACTACCTAAGGGTTTCATAGTATTTTTGGTAAAACTTTTTAAGGTGTTTCCCACCAAGCACTGCACCTGTTCTGTGGAGGTATCTCAACCATACGACACAGGATGTATTGTACAAACATAACTCCTCCAAAAAAGTCCATCCAGTTACTGCCTTTCCACCAGTATTATATCAAGACTATAAAAATAAAAAGTCTGAACATGGGAGTTGTTTTCAAACTGGAAAATACTTGATTCCCTAACTTTTGTCGCTTGTTTTTAGAAGCATCGCTATTGCAGAGAAAGTAAGTATTATATAAAAACATAGTATTAAACAATAAAAGGGAACATGGAAATACTAAACTGATCAATTATTTATTAATTAACATTATTAAATTAATAAGTTTTTGCATCTTTGTAATGCAAAAATGATGGCTTCTGTGTACATCTGGTGGGCACTGTGAGATTTACTTACTCATTACAAGGTGTAACAACCACTTCTGATTATTCCATGTCCCAGACACTAGATTTTAAAGAGCCTGGTGCTATATTTCATCCAGTGGCTCTACTAGCCTACTCTTGGACTAACTGTCCCTGGCAGCCTCAGAGGGGAGAAGCTGAAATCTGACTCCATTTACCAGTACTCAATGTGAGGGGTGCTGGCATTGCGTCCAGTAGTTGTTAATAGTCTTGGTTTCAGATGTTCGTAGCTTGACAGGCTGTGTCTGCTTATTTGCCCCAGGCTGAAAATTTCTCCTTTCAAATTTCAGTTAAAATAGCTTTAAAAAATGAAGTAATAACCCTAAAATACCAAAGCAAGAATACTGATCCATGCTGACAATGCATATAATAAAACACAGTGATTATTGTGTATATTTCAGTTTAAGATGTCACTGGCCTTGCAAAGTACTACTGCATGAACTGAAAATTCTTTATTACCACTGAAGGATCCCCTGATGTACTTGAAACATGGTCATTCCAATAAAAAAAAAAAGATTTTTTACATAACAATTTCTGCAGTATTAAAATGTTTTTGCAGTGGGATTCTTGTGTCATGTCCAGAAACAGCAAAGCAGCCCTGCTGAATGCTTGGAAAGAATCCCACCTTTTGACAGACAAAAGAGCCATACTTGCACTGAAATCCTATACCTCCTGTCAGCAGTCCATGAGTGCAAGACTGTGCTCAAGTTTTCCTTTCAGCTGAACTTAGGGAGCAGTAGAGGGTTAGACTTGGTTGTGTACTTGACATGAGAGTAGATCTATACCTTGAGCAGAATGGTCCAGGCATAGTGGGCTGGTGACATTGCCTCCATCATACAGCAGTATCACGTGGCTTTGTGGGTGGCTTTAAAGGACAGAGTTCTGCCGGCCTTAAGGATAGATTAGAATTACAGATAAGTGGAAATATACAGGCTGCATCTATAGCAGAAAATAAAACTGATTAGGACTCGTTCTGTAGGTATCAGGGAAATGGCATGGTGCAGCTAAATTCTTTCCCCTTCAAGAGTGGCCTTTTTTTCACTGCCTCCTGCATTTGTCGAGCCTGCATACCATTACTGAGCTGTGCTAGCCTCCAGCTTGGATGTACAAAGACATTGCTTGGAAAAAATACTGGCCAGGGACCCAGCCATTCCTGGAAGCACGCCAGCAGTCAGGAGTATGGATAGTCAGGTGCCAGCACTGACTGGGCCTCTGTCCTGTTTAGGTCACTGCACTGTCACAGTCAGATGAGGGAGGAAATTTGGCTCAAGCCTGCAGCCAATGCAGCATGAGAAAGTCCAGGAAGAGTGATGTGCTTAGACCCAGAGGGAGTACAGACTGGTCTGTAAGAGTTTTTTTGTTATTTTGGAGGAGTAAAACCACCATTGGTGTGTTAACTGTGCTTTTAGAAGTGCAGTTTAACTGACTGAAATTGTTACTTGCATTTAAATACATTTGTGTGTATGTTGCAACACTGAAAAAAACCTACTGTTTGTATGATGTGCATACAATAAATTACCCCTCTGGTATAAAAGGAAAAATATTTCATGTTTAAATGCTTAAAAGCT